ATTTATGATGACAGAATAAGTTTTATTCTCTCTCCAATAATATATTCTGTGTCTAATCCTTCATAATATTTCAAACATTTTTCCAATTTATGCAGGACTTGAAGAGAGATAATTACAAAACTGTTTGATAAGCTTTGACAATGGTAAAATTTTCTTACAGGCTTCCAGTGGTATTCCTAGTTTACCTACTCATCAAAACGGGAGTACTTGGAAATAATTTACCGATTATCTCAACATCACAAGAGTCAGATGGCTACTGTATCAGTTGACCTTTAAAATTGCTATCTTTCACTCGTGTTAGTTCCCAGGTAACACTCGAGCCAATACATGTTCATCTGTCTTCTTAATGGAGAAATGGCATTTGAATTACAATTGCTATATCTCAGTAGCAAGACCAACATGTATCAGAATAATATGAAATGCATACTGGGTGGTGAAGCATTTACAGTCGGTAAAGGTGCTTTGTAAAACTGCTGTGAGATAGTGATGGGATTCCACTGAAACTCTGTTACTAAATATGCTATTAATCATGAAAATTGGCATGGTCGACAACTAGGGTGTGAAGTACAATTCTGTGCCACATTTAGGTAATAATACCCCCCCCCCCCCCCCCAATTATGTTTCATTAAATGAAACCATTATTTTGCCCCCTTTACTGATAAAAAAATCAAGAGTAAGCCTTTCAAGAAACCTGAAGTTTGTAATAAATATCTCAGACCTTTACAAATGTCCCAGATAATTATGCAAAAATGTTGAAATATATTGATCTGTTAATTTAAGAACTTAGAAGAACTTAACAAGTTTTTTGGAGGCGTGTTTTAAAACAGTATTTTCCTTTTTGCCCAATCTGCTACATAAAAAATCAAAAATGATAAAAAAATTTATTGTTAAAATTTTGTTAGAAATGAAAAGGATGCAAATACAAAATGAACAAATTATCTTCATGTAGTTTTGTGGGTATACAGCTGACCAGAGGGCCATAAATTATGGAAAACATTCCCCTTCTTTTTATCACTTGCACACCATAATGTTCCTTTAAAATTAAACATAACACCAAAAGCAGTATGCTTGACAATACAGTTACTGACAAATGAATGTACAGTACTGTGTTTGTTGAACTTTAACAATGTGTCCCAGTCACAACTTGAGCCTTTCTCCAGTACAACAGATGCAGTTTTACAGCAATATGTCTAATTCTAAAGTTAGTTTCATCATGATTGTGATCAAACCACTTGGAACGTAACATGCAAGAGGTTATTTCAGTAAAAACTAATTTTTTTAAATAATTTGCCTGTTTCTCCTGAAATTTTCAAAAGCTATTTCACTGTGTTCCTCCTCCTTGTTATTTCACTGTTTGCCTTTTTGCCCAACTTAACCAGTCTTTCTTGCACATTCTGCAAGATGGTGTCAACAATCAACAAACGTCTTCTGGCCACATTCAGTTTATTAATATGAGGCTCCAGATCCCCCATTCCCTTCTCACTGGACAGAATGACCTGTAAATCCTTGGACACTGTCTCTATTAATTCCCTTAGCTGTTGCTGACTCTCCTTGGTAGCCAAAACCCTTTTATCTACCTCAGTCATGGCAGGTAGCAGCAGACTAACAAAACCTTCCTTGAAAGAGAGAGCCTGTGGTGACAAAACAAATTGAGGAACATCCTCTGAGACAAGAATTTGGTTTTTAATGGATACCTCTTCTTCAGGGGGGACAGAAGTACCTGTTGATTCCAGGGTGCAGTTCTCTTTGGAGGCCTCTTCATTTTTGTTAGATTTTTCATCTTCTTCAGTAGCTGTAGTATCTGAAGAATTCACATCTGTGTTTGACACATCTGCCATCATGGCAGTGCTTTCGTTCTCCATATTGTTAGCCTGGACTTCACTGCCGAGGTTATCCTTCTTTGAGGTTATGTCTTGCTCTGGGGGTTCCTCTTCCACCTCAGAGACAGTAGAGTGATTTTCTTCAGCCATTGTCTGCCAATGAAGCTCAATATAAAAGATCCAGATATGGTTTCTCTCTAAGAGTATTCTGTCTCTTGAAACCTGAAACAAATACAAATAATCTAAATACAAGACCTTTTGTATTTGTACAGAAAAATGCTATGTGATAAACACTGTCGCATGCACCTAAAAAATACATTCCTTTTTACAACTAAATTATTGGACTTCCATCATTTTAAAACTTTTTACTACTATCATTTGCATACAATTAAAAAGACCATAAAAGCCCTTAAAGTGTTGAGTATCATGAAAGACTGACATACAATTATAAACAATATCCAGTCTTGCTTTTAACACTATTTCCCTTTAGTGAAAATGGTCACTTTCACTTCAATCATTTTTCAAAATATATCCAAGTGTTTTCTGAGACCTTTACATCATCCATTGTAAGCCTCTTTACATGATCTCAAAAATTTCTTTTAGAAAAAAGTATGGAAAATTTAAAAAATGGCATCAAACAGTTAGCAATCTGAATGATAAACCCCAGTTTCACTTTGATACAAAATACTTGCCCTTTGTGCCTTTAATTATAATAAACAATCTGTTTGATGAAAAACACACCAATACAAATTCAGGATCTACTTACTTGCACTTTACACAGGAGTAGAAGACTGTCTGTCCCTCATCAGCTGACCTTGTCTGTCTGGTTGTGTAGGTCATACCTTCATTGCCACACTTGGGACATTTCTTGTCAACCTGAAATATACAAAAACATATCAATTATTTGTCTACTATATGTACATTTTTGTGGCAAAGTACAAAGCCATCACATGCGTGCAGTCCATTACTGGAGCAGTTAGAGTTCTCTTTAACTAAGGCAAATAATAAGTTTTTTTTAAAAAATCATATGACAGTTAAAGTTCAAAGAGCACAAGGGTCACTGTAAAATTCCATGTGTGACTATACAGGACACAGATACAGTGTGACCCATTATAACATCCATGTTTGCAAATTATTTAGTATGTCAGTTTAATCATCTGTAAAATCTCCATTCAGAGTAGTCCCCATCCCCTGAATTATAAACTTAACTAACACTATTCAATCCTGCCTTTACCCACCTCCTAGATCTCACACAATGAGCCACTATCACATGCTCTAAATGTCACATTGATATCAAGAATGACATATTTACATTGTTATCAATATGCAGCAGCTGTTATTCTGACCTACATCCCTTTGTGCTATGATTTGCACTGTTATAAAACCCTCTCAGCAATAAACCTGTCTAGCTGAATAAGTTCTAAAATCTTTTATTCATATATTTCTCATATAAAAACTTATCACTTTATTATAAAGAACAATGCACTGGTCCATCAATAAAAATGTTTTTCATGTATATTCTAAAGAATAAAAGAGATTTTATTGCAATTGAGAAAAATCTCACCATGATGAATATGAAATTTTAGGACTTACAATGGGACCTAAATGTTCTTCCTCATCTGAGTCTGGCTGAATGCTCCCCATATCTTCCCTTTTGTTGAACACAACCTTGGAGTGGATTTCAATTCCATCAAACTCTGGGAAATAATGAAGATCTTGTTTTATGTCAGAATCACCATGTTATATAAAATATTTAACACATACTGTACACAAAAGCAAATGCCGGTGCACACAGTAGCTTATTTCGTTTCATTATTTACATGTAATTCATTTTGACTCTTCAATTAAATGAAAATAAAATAAAGGTTGTACATGAAAAAGAAATATAGTGTTCCATATAGATGAAAAAGTTCAGACATGATAATACAACTTGTATTTTAAGGAAAACAAATCAGGCAGGGACAGGTGGTTGATTCAGTTTTTGGTCTTATTCCAGGTTATGCAGAGAAAATAAAGGGGTGGGGGCTTATATACCTGTAATATCTATCTGGAATGGGCATCCCCTGCAACTGACCACATCTGACAGTCCAGGCAGTGGTAGGATGGAACCACAATCTGGACAGAAGTCCACATCACTGGCAAAAGCAGCTTTCTTAGACATGCTGGAAATTGAATGAAACTTATAGCAATATACGTACTAATTCAAAATATTTTAATGATCTGCACTGCAACTTTGTTAGCTCCAGACCAAGTAATATTACTACCAGTATGACATGCATACCTGGTATGTGCAACACTCTGACAACAGGGTCCATTATGAAATTATTGTATCAATTTGTATGAGAGATTTGATCAACGGAAATGTATTCCTCGCCAGACATTTATTTGACAGAGGGGATGATTTCACACCTAGGTGTTGGGCAGTGCACATCCCTGTCTATGTGACATAATGCAAGTGAAGCATGGTCTCAGACTTACTCCAGATGCCCAGCTATGTGATACTACAATATATCCCAAAAATATCTATCTGCTGCTGAGCCACCAGTTAAGAGGTAGGTAGAGGCGGGGTATTGGGTGTATTGCCACAGGGACCCAAACTTGAATTTTGTATAATATTTTAGTCTAGAAGCCCCTGATATCAGACGGTAATACATGTACAGTGTTGTACATGATAGCGTTACAAAATTCCGTCAGTTTGACTTCAATCTACATTTGATATGAATTCCATCGTAAAACACTTAAAATTTTTGTTTGGTCTGGACCTAACAAAGTTTCATTTCCATTTACAAATAAGATCTGTTAAATCAAGGACTTACAACTCCTTGGTTAAATCATAGAAGTAGAGCTCTACTTCTATGGTTAAATTTAGACTGCACCCCCCCCCCCCCCCTCGTTTCCAGAGGCACGTTGCTAGAGAAATCCCCCCCCCCCTGAACACACTTCCCTCCTAGTTGACATCTTTGCAGATATACCAACACTTAAGACCAAAAACGACAAAATGCCTTGTATTGTAGTTATCAAACTGTATTCACGAGAAAATCAGTGAATATTTTCTACAAACCTCGTAATTTTTTGTTATTTTTATCCAGCCGGCTAAAACAACGTGACACACTTTCTACCCACAATGCATCTCATCTACGCATGTTTCCTGTGTCATAGACAACAGCAACATCGGTGCAGTTCGCCGTGCAGAGAACGATAAAAATGAAGTTATTAACACATAACATGTTAACGTCTAATATTATAAAAGGCGTTACTAAAGGATTTCCTTTGCAGATAGCGGTAAATATGCCAACAATCTGAAATTATTTTGATATTTCACATAGATGTTGTTTTCGAAACAGTGTCACTGGAGAATTTAATTTATCATTTGATCATGTGTGTTAACACATATAAGTCATGTGTGTTTAAGCCTTGGAACTCCTTGGTTTAAGCTTTAGATAGTTAATGTTACTTTTCATTGTTTCAGCACTGTGTTTATGCCACAGTATAGATCAGGCAGTACACATTCATACATACACATACTGACAATGAGGCGGTGCGCATCGTTTGAGATTTTTAAGCTGTACCCTAAAAATAATTACCATATTTGTTTTTTTTTAGGCAACAGATATAAAAGTGACTGAGGTAGACTTCAACCCAGACTTTATCTCAAGAATGATCTCAAAAGTAGAATGGCCAGCACTGTGTGAAGCAGCTGAAAGTGTAAGTGACATTTGCTTTATAATATCTACACAGAGATCGTGAATGCTATGCTTGTGCTCCATGTGTTCATTGTTATTATTTGAAAACGGAAAGTACAGTGTGTACTAGTATACATACAATTCAAGTTACATATGTTGAGCAAATGCAAATTATTCACAGTTTCCTGCTACCTTGGATTGTTAACAGCTGAGTATGATGCAAATTTAAGTGTTATCTCCTTTTTTATGGTTTTTTCAGATTGGTCATCTGGGAGACTTACCAAAAGAATTAGATCCTGATTATGAGAAGAATGAAGAATTCCTAAAAAAGGCTCATCATGTGTTATTGGAGGTAAAAACTTCACTTTTAGATATTTTGTATCTAGATAAGGAATGCTACAAAGAGACATGGTAAAGCAAAACAAATGGGTTTCTTTTTAATGAAAAATAAAACTGAAAAAATGTTATCCTTATTATTCTATGATTCCAAGATATTAAAGAAAAAAAAAACATGCATTTTATGCATTCTGTGTTATTTGTATGTTCTGATTACCCGTGTCTGTCTCTGCCATCTCCTTTTAACCTGATACACTGTAGATAAACCAAGTAGTCAATTCTCTTTTTCAAATCTAATGACCAACAAATTGTCTGGTAAACTGAATATATAATATTTCACTTGAGCCGTTTTCATAGTTTAATGTTTTTTTCACAAATTATGTTCTCAATAAAATTTTCTTTAGGTGGAGATCAAAGAGGGGGAACTTATCTGTCCAGAAACTGGGAGAAAATTCCCTGTCACAAATGGGATTCCCAATATGTTACTAAATGAAGACGAGGTTGGAAAATGAAATGAAACTACACAGTTAGACTCTGTGTGTTAGACACTACCCAACCTTTTGGATAAGACTGCATCACCTGGGTATCACTGAAAAAAGTTGCTGCATTCAATGAATAATCACGGATGATACAACACAGACAAACAGTATATGGTATACAGGAAAAAGATGTGACTGAAGTTCAAGTTGAAGACAAGTTGAAAGAAAATATTGACAATTTACTTCTGTAAATTTTAAATATTTTTCTGAAGGATAAAAATGTTCAATCATTCACCAGAATATGAAAATGTTAACTTGTGTTTGAATACTATAATAAAAGTTTTTTTTATATCTATTTCAATTTGACAAAGATGCAGTATGACTGCGAGTTGACATATTAGATGTCAAGTTTGACTGCTGTTTTATAAGCAGTTCTTTAATAAATCTCCCGAAGAATCCTTCCCTTAACTCACTTTGACTGCAGTAGCATTATCATGAAATTAATTCTAACAGTTGTAATGTTTTTATCATAGAATGTTGCCCTAATGCTAACATTACATTACTGTTTTATTAGCATGCATTAAGGGTATATTGACTCGACCAACTCCAGTATAATTATGAATGTTTTTGTTATGCTGTTGTATATGTATTAAGTATATACTGAATTTGTAAAAATACTTTGTACTTTGGAATAACTCATCTATCTATACACTCGTAAGAAGTAAAAGAGTAATCTCAATAAAGTTATGTACTAGTAATAAGAAAATTAATTATTTGTATTATTGTAGTTTATTTTTAGTACATGTAATTTTCATTTCATGATTATCATGTAAGAAAACATAACAATATCATGATATTGTTTTTAATTCATCTTTTTATTTTCAATACAAATAACACAATGTCCAATCTTGGGTCAGTTATCATTTAACAAATGCTAGTACTTAAGAACACTTCAAGTTTACATAAAAACCCATTTTCTACTATAATTGCAATAGAGGGTGCTACAACAGTAGAATATGAGCAGCTGACTTACATGTTCACAAAACTGTTAATACACAATATTGCAACTCAATCATATGTGTACCTCACATAGATAAACAATATCCCCCCTCCCCCTTACATGAGGACCCCTTTATATTCTTGGAAATCTATTAAAAGGAAGCAAGCTGTAAATATCAGTACAGGTATGAAACATTTATGCATGAAATCTAGCATTTAAGGGTTTTTGGTCAGCTTGAAGTGCATCTATCTTTCACTTTNATAAAAATAAAATAAATGTTGTACATGAAAAAGAAATATAGTGTTCCATATAGATGAAAAAGTTCAGACATGATAATACAACTTGTATTTTAAGGAAAACAAATCAGGGAGGGACAGGTGGTTGATTCAGTTTTTGGTCTTATTCCAGGTTATGCAGAGAAAATAAAGGGGTGGGGGCTTATATACCTGTAATATCTATCTGGAATGGGCATCCCCTGCAACTGACCACATCTGACAGTCCAGGCAACGGTAGGATGGAACCACAATCTGGACAGAAGTCCACATCACTGGCAAAAGCAGCTTTCTTAGACATGCTGGAAACTGAATGAAACATACAGCAATATATTTCTAATTCAAAATATTTTAATGATCTGCACTGCCACAATTATAATATCACTACCAGTATACCTGGTATGTACTACAGTCTGATAACAGGGTCTATTATGAAATTATTGTATCAATTTGTATGAGAGATTTGATCAACGGAAATGTATTCCTCGCCAGACATTTATTTGACAGAGGGGATGATTTCATACCTAGGGGTTGGGCAGCGCACATCCCTGTCTATGTGACATAATGCAAGTGAAGCATGGTCTCAGACTTACTCCAGATGCCCAGCTGAGTGATACTACAGTACATGTACATCCCAAAAAATATCTATCTGCTGCTGAGCCACCAGTTAAGAGGTAGGTAGAGGCGGGGTATTGTGTGTATTGCCACAGGGACCCAAACTTGAATTTTGTATAATATTTTAGTCTAGAAGTCCCTGATATCAGACGGTAATACATGTACAGTGTTGTACATGATAGCGTTACAAAATTCCGTCAGTTTGACTTCAATCTACATTTGATATGAATTCCATCGTAAAACACTTAAAATTTTTGTTTGGTCTGGACCTAACAAAGTTTCATTTCCATTTACAAATAAGGTCTGTTAAATCAAGGACTTACAACTCCTTGGTTAAATTTAGACTGCACCCCCCTCTCGTTTCCAGATGCACGTTGGTAGAGAAATCTCCCCCCCCCCCCCGCACACCTGAACACACTTCCCTCCTAGTTGACATCTTTGCAGATGTACCAACAATTAAGACCAAGAATGACAAAAATGCCTTGTATTGTACTTATCAAACTGTATTCACGAGAAAATCGGTGAAAATTTTCTACAAACCTCGTATTTTTTTGTTATTTTTATCCAGCCGGCTAAAAGTAAAACAGCGTGACACACTTTCTACCCACAATGCACCTCATCTACGCATGTTTCCTGTGTCATAGACAACAGCAGCATCGGTGCAGTTCGCCGTGCAGAGAACGATAAAAATGAAGTTATTAACACATAACATGTTAACGTCTAATATTATAAAAGGCGTTACTAAAGGATTTCCTTTGCAGATAGCGGTAAATATGCCAACAATCTGCAATTATTTAGATATTTTTCGTAGATGTTGATTTCGAAACAGCGTAACTCACTGGAGAATTTATCATTTGATCATGTGTGATAACACATATAAGTCATGTGTGTTTAAGCGTTGGAAATCCTTGGTTTAAGCTCTAGGTCATTAGTGTTACTTTTCATTGTTTCAGCACTGTATTGCCACAGGACAGATCGGGCAGTACATATTCATACAATGAGACGTTTGAGATAAATGTAGTGTTTTTATAAAGCTATACCCTAAAAATAATCACCATCTTTGTTTTTAGGCAACAGATATAAAAGTGACTGAGGTAGACTTCAACCCAGACTTTATCTCAAGAATGATCTCAAAAGTAGAATGGCCAGCACTGTGTGAAGCAGCAGAAAGTGTAAGTGACATTTGCTTTATAACATCTACACAGAGATCGTGAATGCTATGCTTGTGCTCCATGTGTTCATTGTTATTATTTGAAAACAGAAAGTACCATGTGTTCTAGTATACATACATTTCAAGTTACATATATTGAGCAAATGCATATTATTCAGTTTCCAGTTACCTTGGATTGGTAACAACTGCAAATTTAATTGTTATGAATCTCCTTTTTTATGGTCTTTTCAGATTGGTCATCTGGGAGACCTACCAAAGGAATTAGATCCTGATTATGAGAAGAATGAAGAATTCCTTAAAAAGGCTCATCATGTTTTATTGGAGGTAAAAACTTCACTTTTAGATATTTTATATTTTATATGCTACAAAGAGACATGGCAATTCAAAACAAATTGAATACTATTTGATTAAAAAATAAAACTGAAAAACTGTGATCCTCATTTTTCAATGATTCAAAGATACAAGGAGAAAAAAAGACTTAAAGAGAAAAAACATACATACATTTTATACATTCTTTATTATTTGTATATTCTGATTACCTGTGTCTGTCCGTGCCAACTCCTTTTAATATGATAGATAAATGAAGTGGCCAGTTCTCTATTTCATCCTAGTGACCAACAAATTGTCCGGTAAATTGAATATAATATTTCACTTGACTCCTTTTCACAGTGTAATGTTTTTTCATACTAGTCAGTAGATGAGCATATTTTCACAAATTAAATTCTCAATAAAATTTTCTTTAGGTGGAGATCAAAGAGGGAGAACTTATCTGTCCAGAAACTGGGAGAAAATTTCCTGTCACAAATGGGATTCCCAATATGTTACTAAATGAAGACGAGGTTGGAAAATGAAATGAAATTACACAGTCAGACTCTGTGTGTTAGACACTACCCAACCTTTTGGATAAGACTGCATCACCTGGGTATCAGTGCTAAAAGTTGCTGCATTCCATGAATAATCACGGAAGATACAACACAGACAAACAGTGTATGGTATACAGGAAAAAGATGTGACTGAAGTTCAAGTTGAAGACAAGTTGAAAGAAAATATTGACAATTTACTTCTGTAAATTTTAAATATTTTTCTGAAGGATAAAAAAAGTTCAATCATTCACCAGAATATGAAAATGTTCACTTGTGTTTGAATACTATAATAAAAGTTTTTTTTATATCTATTTCAAAGATGCAGTATGACTGCGATTTCACATATTAGATGTCAAGTTTGACTGCTGTTTTATAAGCAGTTCTTTAATAAATCTCCCGAAGAATCCTTCCCTTAACTCACTTTGCCTGCAGTAGCATTATCATGAAATTAATTCTAACAGTTGTAATGTTTTTATCATAGAATGTTGCCCTAATGCTAACGTTACATTACTGTTTTATTAGCATGCATTAAGGGTATATTGGCTCTACCAACTTCAGTATAATGATGAATGTTTTTGTTACGCTGTTGTATATGTATTAAGTATATACTGAATTTGTTAAAATACTTTGTACTGGAATAACTCATCTATCTATACACTCGTAAGAAGTAATAGAGTAATCTCAATAAAGTTATGTACTAGTAATAAGAAAATTATTTGTATAATTTAGAAAATTCAAGCTTATTTTTAGTACATGTAATTTTCATTTCATGATTATCATGTAAGAAAACATACCAATATCATGATATTGTTTTTAATTCATCTTTTTATTTTCAGTACAAATAACACAATGTCCAATCTTGGGTCAGTTATCATTTAACAAATGCTAGTACTTAAGAACACTTCAAGTTTACATAAAAACCCATTTTCTACTATAATTGCAATAGAGGGTGCTACAACAGTAGAATATGAGCAGCTGACATACATGTTCACAAAACAGTTAATACACAATATTGCAACTCGATCACGTGTACCTTACATAGATAAACAATATCCCCCACCTCCCCCTTACACGAGGACCCCTTTATATTCTTGGAAATCTATTAAAAGGAAGCGAGCTGTAAATATCAGTACAGGTATGAAACATTTATGCATGAAATCTAGCATTTAAGGGTTTTTGGTCAGCTTGAAGTGCATCTATCTTTCACTTTAAAAGAATAAAACCAATTACTCGATTGTAATTTGACACCTTTTCTTTAGTCTGTAGCATTTTGTTTTCTTATAAGCAATCTAAGAGACCCAGCTACTGAAACATGCCGTCCACATTCCCTAAATGAGGTCTGTCACTTCAGAGCAAGCATTGTCTCATGCAGTCAACTAAAAGTGCATGCTCTTCGTTCGTTTCTCTGTACATACATTTCCTATGACAAACACCACTTGAAATAAGACTTAAGATTCCGTTCCGTAAATGTCCGTTTACATGCTCTTGGCTAAATAAAATGCAAAATAATTAGGGGAAAAAACATTTCATTTGATTTGTACACACTGCACATGAATAGCTGAATAGCATTTGAACATGCAACTAAAGAGGTCAGTTCATTTTAGCAAGCCTTCAAATCAACAGACTAACATATGCAACATAATACCCGTTAAAATGAACACTTGCCGGAGGTTTTTGCTTTTCTGGCAAAAAAAAAAAAAAAAAATTGTGAAAGTTAAAATTCTAAAATACAATTGCTAAGAATATGCAATAAATTAAGTTTTCCATCTTTGAAGAGGAGTNGTACAGACACATCTGTGTCTGTACATAATAAAACCAATTACTCGATTGTAATTTGACACCTTTTCTTTAGTCTGTAGCATTTTGTTTTCTTATAAGCAATCTAAGAGACCCAGCTACTGAAACATGCCGTCCACATTCCCTAAATGAGGACTGTCACTTCAGAGCAAGCATTGTCTCATGCAGTCAACTAAAAGTGCATGCTCTTCGTTCGTTTCTCTGTACATACATTTCCTATGACAAACACCACTTGAAATAAGACTTAAGATTCCGTTCCGTAAATGTCCGTTTACATGCTCTTGGCTAAATAAAATGCAAAATAATTAGGGGAAAAAACATTTCATTTGATTTGTACACACTGCACATGAATAGCTGAATAGCATTTGAAAACGCAACTAAAGAGGTCATTTCATTTTAGCAAGCCTTCAAATCAACAGACTAACATATGCAACATAATACCCGTTAAAATGAACACTTGCCGGAGGTTTTTGCTTTTCTGGCAAAAAAAAAAAAAAAAATTGTGAAAGTTAAAATTCTAAAATACAATTGCTAAGAATATGCAATAAATTAAGTTTTCCATCTTTGAAGAGGATTGTTCTGAGGGGTTTTATAAGAAATATAATTGCAATAAAACTAACAGGGAAATAAAACTTAGTCCCCAAACAAATCCTTGGATGGTTTTGAATGACATACATACATATTACCAAATGAAAATGCCTCATGCATTTATTCCACTTTAACAAGTCGCACATGCAGATCCTTCAAAAGCAATATTAAGAACATTCAACATTATATCTTCTACATGTAGAAGCGCAGCAATGACACTTATTATATTGTGGTAGCTGCAACCTATTACCAGTAACCAGTGTTATTCCTCATTCAGCTGCAGAAGTGAAAAAGTTTATTAAATAATTAGTTACATTTACATTTGCACACAAAATGAGAGGGGATAATGTAAATCAATATTTCTGGTTAAAATAACAAAATACATGGTAAATGTTCAGTGATTTTCCTTTGCACACATATATAAACAAATATATCTCAGAACATTTAAAAACTTAATCTTGTATAAAATAGAGGTATCAATAAATTATAAAATTCCTATACACAGTCACAGTAGTTAGAAGATAATCTTTACAATACGTAAGATATTTACAGTTAAGTTGTGTCTTGGCAGAGGGGGGAATAGACCAAATATTTCTGACAATGGAGATTCAGATTTTTGTATGTTGTTATCTAATAAAGGATGATTCAAATGATATTGTACACCCTTCATGAAATTTTTTGTTAATATTTTTACATATTTACAATATTTGAAGGTCTAAAAAATGAAAGATTCAAACAAATAAGGTATGTACCTCTTCAAGTGCAATAAGGACCAAATGTATATAAAAATGTATTAGTTGTTTCCCCTCAAATAATTATCTCCTTTCTAACGAATTCATTTTTTAAAGGCATGTCACCACTGGCCTTCTGCCAAACATTGAACCATCCACTAAATCTTGGTTAGGACCTGCCTTGTTATCATACTGAGGTCCAGCTCGAATACTGCGGTCACTTCCAACAGCTCTTATTCTACTCCCAATATTGGCTGGGTCTGGTCCCTTGTGATTATCTGGATTGGCACCTTGGATAGCAAGGTATTCCTCCCTGTGAATAAACGGGCACAATATACCATTTTGGAATGCAGAGACAAAATTACCACCATTTACTGTCAAACTGTATATGTTTTTATAAAATCCATATGTATTTTCTATGCATTGAAACTCCTTGCATATGCACAATTGAATATGTTAAGTGCACTTAAATAAAATTCAATTATATATTAACCATGTTTTAACAAACTGCCCTTTGAATTAAGAATTCATTCATGTGAAGATTTGAAAAAAAAAAGAAAAAATGTCATTGAAAAAAAGTCTCAATCCTATAAAACTTACAGTAGAGAAGACTTATCTGGGCCCTTTCGCAGTGAAGGGTCTGGCCCCTTGGCTTGAATTCTGTTCTCAGACTGGAAAGCTACTGGTGTTGGTGCAACACGGGCAGGGACAGGACTGGCATGTCTTGCTGGAGAAGCTCTAATATATCAAGGAACATCATTTAATATGTAAATCATGGAAAAATCAAATACAATGTTGCTTGTTAAGCAAACATCATGTATGTGCCAAAAAACTAAATTCAGATCTGCAGCAAATTTGTAATGAATAAAAAGAAAGTTAATCTGGTTATAATGACATGCCAGTGATGAGCTCAACTAACAAAACAAATTTGCAAAGCACTTTCATTTTTTACCTGGTCTGCTGCTTCTTGGCAGGTGCTTTTTTGGGCACAGCTTTGGGCTTTGGTTTAGGTTCTGGCTCTGGCTGTGTTGAAGGTGACCTTGAACTTCTTGCTGAGCTTGCTGCTGAAGACTTTGAAGTGGCTGTGCTGGGTCTGGATGATGTATCACTGGCCGTAGGGCTGAAGACATCACAGATTATTTTATTTATGTTATAAGATTAGTTGAGACAATAGACTTCAATATGATTTACAGCATAGTCCATACAAATTTAAGACATTTACATCACAGGGGCAGACAGAAGCAGTTTTGAGGAAGATGGTCAGAATCTTTCAAGTTTACATTGACAGGTATCTCTTTTTTCTTTAAGAAGACAGTCAAAAATGGAGGATGGATCAACAAATATAATTTGGGAGACTGTCAGAAAATATATCTGGATCTGCCCCTGCATCACATTGCATTACAATGTGTAACAAGTTACCTGACACTTCTGCGTGCTGCACTAGCAGGCTGTGCGGGACCAATAGAGGTGCTGGTGGTGCCTGGTGTGCTGGTGCTCCTGAAAGATCAGTTAATCAACCTTAAAGCTCATACCCAAGTTCAAAATACAACAAGTAAATCACAATTTTTCTTGTTGTTTCTCTTAACAAGTAATCCAGTCTTAGAAGATACAGCATTAAGCAATCTCTAAGAAGTTCATAGCCCTAAAACTATATAGCAGTTATCTATCACAGATTCTAAGAGATGAATATGCGCTAGGTGTAAATAAGGATCCTATATTAAAATTAAAATGAGAGTGGTTGCTATGGCTGCACAAGTGTGATAAATGTTTATGTAAAATATCTGTGGCTGACAGTACTGCTTACTTCTTATCTTTCTTTTTATCTGCAGCCATGCTGGTTAGCAAGGCTCTTGCCTTGGTTTCATCATACTGACACACTTCCACTACCATATCAATGACAGACATGGGCTCACTGAACTCATTGGTCAGTTTGACTTTCACTGAAATTGAGGGGCAACATAAAATCAGTTACATTTTAAATGGGAAAAGAATAAGTGAAAAGATAACTGCCCAAATGTCAAAAGAACAAACACCGTTTTCATGAATTCAGCAAAATATCAATAAAATAGCAGAGGTCTTTTATCTGGCATTTTTAAAATAAAAGTTTGCAGCATTCTCCCTTTTTCCAATTAACTCTGGCACCCCAAGCCTAAAAATTATTTACAAAATGATCAAATGCTATATTATATGTGTCAAGTTATGTACTATATATATATATTTTACTTTGCTGAACATAACTGATTTATAATAGAAATCCTTACATCGTTCCTTCTCACTATCTGACAGTTGTTTAGGAGCAGGTGCTGGTGAAGGAGAACGTGAACGAGTTGCAGCTCGTGTTTGTGCCGGTGCTGGTCTGGCCAATGAACTGGATTCAGAGTACCCCATACTTCTTAACTGTTCTCTAGCTCTGAACAGGTCATAATTATTTCTAAAAAATAAGATCATTAATATTATGATTTGTATAAGGGTAGTTCTGCCTAATTTCCCTATTGCACTATTCACATTGGCCTTAGCTCAAACATATATAAACCCCATGGATACTTGGTATTTGAACATTGTGAAGGTGTACATGCACACTTAGTTTGACTGAAGCTGTAAAATTTTGCTACAGAGGACCAAAGATATTTTTATCTTATAATACACAATAATTGTTTGTAGACCAAAATTACAAAAATATGTGATATGATTAGAACATTTCAACAACTAAAAACCTGTCATTAAATTCAGCTCAACTAAAACTAGAAGTCTAACTTACCCCTCCAAGATATTGACAATGATGTCCATATCTGCAGTGGGGAATGACTGCTTTATTTTTGCCTTCTTGTCCTCAAAGTCATCTGGTCTTCTTGAGAAGCTAGTTTCCTAAATAGGTAAGGAGTAACTCAAGGCATTTGCATTGTATGTTCTAAAAGTATCTTGTTTTATTTCACATAACCTGTTTTAATGTCTTATGTTTTATGCAACACCCTTTTTATGAGTAATCCAACTACTTAGGGAACAAAAAAATAAACAGTAAAAATTTACTAGGACTGAAAAAATATGGAACAAGTTAACATGGGGTTATGTCTACAAGCACTGAAAACTGTTAGCATAAATGTATACAAATTAAAAAAGTGCACATTATTAAGATTAAATTCAGAAGCTAATATATATATAGTCCATGGTGACTTTTTAAACCAAAAGAGCATCACAGGAATCAGGATTACAAGTCAGCTGGAACAGCTAACTCAAGCAGGAGAGATGCTCACAAACACAATGGCTTTATTTTTATTTTTGTTTTCATATTAGGAATTCAACTGGCTAATCAAAAGATAATTCTAATGTCAGCTTTGAACTCCCAAGTCTACTTACAGCTACTCCTCCATGGCTTGTCGTTCCCTGACTTGCTGGCTGTTTGATAAAAGAAATTTTATGATCTTTATAATCATTCTTGCAAGAAAAAAATTGAAAAATTGAAATCTAAAGCAGTCAATTTAAGGATCATCCATTTTTATCATTCTTTTTACAAGTCTACAAAGAGTAGTCTTTTTAGGGTGTGATTGCACAATACCCGCAATACAACACAACACAGCACAATACACTTGATAAAATAAGTCCAGTTGCAAGTAAACACAGGAAATGGTAAAAAAAAAAATAGGGTGATATAAAAACAAAATACATTACTTAGTACTTAATATTCTTAATACAACTTAACAAATCCAATAATATAAAAGTCTCGTGGATTTGTTAAGCTATATCAACAATATTAATTACCTAGTAATATAGTTTGCTTTTATATCACCAAATTTTGTTGAGAATTACTGTTTTTTTATTGTAATTGCAACTGGATTTTTTTCCAGTGTATTGCGCTGTGTTGTGCTGTATTGCAGTGTATTGCGCAATTCAGTCACACCGGTCTTTTTCCACACCCTCTCCCCTCCCTTCAGAGAGTAGATGGTGAAAAGCTAAAAATGATTACCTTTGACAGCAATTTGAATCATCATTTTTATTAATTTCCAAAAGCGTACAGAGGGCACCTCCCCCCTCCCCCAGCATACCATTTGTAAATTTGTGAAAATGATTATAAAAATGGATGACATCTTATAGGACATAACACATTTGCTTTTAAAGGCTCATTCAAAAGTTGAGATCTTACTGTAGGCTTTGGCTTCATGGGTATCGGCTGGGCAGTCTGGGCACTTTGTCTTTCATAGTAGGCTTTTCTTGGGTCTTCCCACTGTGTGACCCTGGTGTTATGATTGATATAAAAACTGAAAGAAAAAACAGTCATGGAATTTCTAGTGTTCTTCTTTATTTTTAGGTGTAACAAAAATATTGCAATCAACTAATATATCTGGATTAAGTCAACCTCCTTTGTTGTGCTAGTGTAGCCAAGAGTGCTACAGTGTAGGACTGTTACCAAATGTTACTGTCTGTTACCAAACTCTCTTTAGGAAGTTTTTGTAGTCATTCTTGTTCAAGTCTAGAAGTATCAATGCTGACATTTCCCAGAAAGAGCAAAGACCCTGTTAACTGGTGCACAAATTGATCACCGTTGTTAGAGTAGTTGTTTCTCACTAACACAGCCACTGCCCTTGGACCACCGATTGCGCAAGGCACTAACAAAACTTGGTTTATAGTGGCATAAATGACGCGATTATCATCTTACCAAATGTATTGACTGATAAAAACCCGAAACATAATATTGATTACTTACTATCTTCTTTGATTGTAGTCATATTTGGCCTCAAACCCAGGAGGGAGGGGCATTTGCCACCACGGCTGCATTCCCCCTGCAGTCGCCATTTTCCTGTGTATGTTTACGCCCTCGTTTTCGTATGTGACGTCATCTTGGAATACCCTTTTATCTGGAACTGTTCCAGNACAGCAGAGGTCTTTTATCTGGCATTTTTAAAATAAAAGTTTGCAGCATTCTCCCTTTTTCCAATTAACTCTGGCACCCCAAGCCTAAATATTATTTACAAAATGATCAAATGCTATATTATATGTGTCAAGTTATGTACTATATATATATTTTACTTTGCTGAACATAACTGATTTATAATAGAAATCCTTACATCGTTCCTTCTCACTATCTGACAGTTGTTTAGGAGCAGGTGCTGGTGAAGGAGAACGTGAACGAGTTGCAGCTCGTGTTTGCGCTGGTGCTGGTCTGGCCAATGAACTGGATTCAGAGTACCCCATACTTCTTAACTGTTCTCTAGCTCTGAACAGGTCATAATTATTTCTGAAAAATAATAACATTAATATTATGATTTGTATAAGGGTAGTTCTGCCTTATTTCCCTATTGCACTATTCACATCGGCCTTAGCTCAAACATACATAAACCCCATGTCTACTTGGTATTTGAACATTGTGAAGGTGTACACGCACACTTAGTTTGACTGTTGAAGCTGTAAAAATTTGCTACAGAGGACCAAAGATATTTTTATCTTATAATACACAACAACTCTTTGTAGATAAAATTACAAAAATATGTGATATGATTAGAACAACTAAAAACCTGACATTAAATTCAGCTCAACTAAAACTGGAAGTCTAACTTACCCCTCCAAGATATTGACAATGATGTCCATATCTGCAGTGGGGAATGACTGCTTTATTTTTGCCTTCTTGTCCTCAAAGTCATCTGGTCTTCTTGAGAAACTAGTTTCCTAGATAGGTAAGGAGTAATTCAAGGCAAGTTTTTATGTATTGACAGTTCTACAGTTTATCTTACTTATCCAAACGTGACTTTTTTAAACCAAAAGAGAATCACAGGATTACAAGTCAGCTGGAACAGATAACTCAAGCAAAAGAGATGCTTAAAACACAATGGCTTGATTCTTATTATTTTCACATTAGGAATTCAACTGGCTAATCAAAAGATAATTCTAATGTCAGCTTTGAACTCCAAGTCTACTTACAGCTACTCCTCCATGGCTTGCCATTCCCTGACTTGCTGGCTGTTAGATAAAAGGTAATTTAATGGTCTTAAGAAACATTCTGGTAAGGAAAAAAGGAAGAAATTGAAATCCGAAGCAGTCGTTTAAAGGATCATCCATTTTTATCATTTTTTTCACAAGTCTATAAAGAGTAGAGTAGAAGATGAAAAGCTATAAATTATTACCTTTGACAGCAATTTGAATGATCATTTTTATCAATTTCAAAAAGCGTACAGAGGGCATTTACCCCCTCCCCCAGTATACCATTTTTTAATTTGTGAATATAATTACCAGTATATAAATGGATTTGGAAATGACATTTTATGGGACATAACCAGGGGCGGATTGAGGCCGTCTTCTGGGTCTTCCGGAAGACGGTCAGATTTTCAAGTTTACATTGACGGATATCTAATTTTTTCTCTCGGAAGACGGTCAAAAATATAGGATGGATCAACAAAGATAATTTAGAAGACTGTCAGAAAATAGCTCTGGATCCGCCCCTGATTACACATTTGCTTTTAAAGACTTATTCAGAAGTTGAGGTCTTACTGTAGGCTTTGGCTTCATGGGTATTGGCTGGGCTGTCTGGGCACTTTGTCTTTCATAGTAGGCTTTTCTTGGGTCTTCCCATTGTGTGACCCTGGTGTTATGATTGATGTAAAAACTGAAAGAAAACATTCACCTGTAATTAACTGGAATCTTATCAATTGGGGTATTTCATATGTTGAGAGGCAGTGACAAGGGTGGATGGGCAAAGGGTGGATATTCCTACATATACAGCAGAAGAATTTTCATTAGATATTTGTTATTGTTTGTCAATATTATTGTGAAATTTTCTTCACATTATTCTAGCATTTGTTATTCATAAAACAGTCGTGAGATATTTAGTCTTTTACTTTACTTCTAGGTGTATCTAAAATGCTGCAATCAACTAAAATATATGCATTTCCAAATCTGTTGTTAACCTTCTAAGACTGAGTCAACCTCCTTTGTAGTTCTATTGTAGCTAAGAGTGTTCGGACTGGTACTAAATGAGAAATACCTGTACACTATATATTTCATACTGTTTCTAGGATATTTTTTGTAGTCGTTTTTGCTCAAGCCTAAAAGCATCAATGCTGGCATTTCCCAGAAAGAGTAAAGACCCTATTAAATTGTGCACAAATTGCAACATCAGTGTCATAGTAGATGTATCTATCACTAACACAGCCACTGCCCTAGGAACACCGATTGCGCAAGGCACTTACAAATACAAGACTTGGTTTAAACTAGTGTGGCATAATAAACACGATTATCATCTTACCAATTTTATTGACTGATAAAAATCTTTAACATGATATTGATTACTTACTATCTTCTTTGATTGTAGTCATATTTGGCCTCAAACCCAGGAGGGAGGGGCATTTGCCACCATGGCTGCATTCCCCCTGCAGTCGCCATTTTCCCCGAGTATGTTTACGCCCTCGTTTTCGTGTGTGACGTCATCTTGGAATACCCCTTTTATCCGTCGGAGCTGACAACCGCATTCCTTCACCGGTTCTTGTCTTTTCTGTCTTTTAAAACAGCAAGAATTAAATACGCAATATATTTTGATTAGGCCTACTTAATTGGATAACAGCTGTGCGTTTTGGCAAATAAATAAATAAGGATTTCCTGTGGTAAACGACGATTTTTCCATACTTACCAATGGTTAATGAATCCATTCCAACATTCAAAGTTAATCAATTTTTTTTTGTAATAATCTCTCAACTTAATTTATTACGAAGATAAAGCCATCTATGAAGGTCTGCGTCGTCCAGTGACAAGCGCACATCCCAGAATAATTACAATAACCGCTGTTTGGGTGGTGAAATATGGGATTTATTATATTTATATGAATGTTTTACAATGTTTTTATTGTGAAATATGGATCTCATGCGAACAGTTGTTATCCCTTTAAGTTTTCTATCGGTTTATGGGGAAGGCCGCTTTTAGAGATTGGATTTCGTAGTTACCATCATTTAATTGATAAAGGTCATATAGAGGCGATACACACATTTTTATAATATCTAATACTTAGTAAGAAAATTGTAAACAGCAAATTATACCATATATAGTGAAGGAACTATATTAGCCTATACGGGAGTAGGTCAACCAGAGATATACCGGTAGGTCTGCATACAGTGTACTAAGCTTGGTTGGTTATCATTAATAAGCTAGCTATATGGTTAACAAAAAGTATATATCTTACAAAAAGTATAAATAAGGTTTGACACCATTTACAGGTATTTTAATTTTAAAGTCAGTTTAATATTATATTGTTTGTCTGACATTCTAGACAAGGCACAAGAAACAAAAACTAATTTACGCGTAACAACAATGTGTACCGGTTCCTGGCATAATGCACTGCTGAAAGGCAATCGATTTTGTGGTATACGCACTTGTTCCCTAATTGTATAACAAAGTTATTTTCTTCGTATTTGGTTTTAAAGTAGATGGTTCCTCATTTCATTCTCGTACTTATATAGGCTTACAGGTACATGTAGGTTAATTTTAATTCTTTGAAATAAGGTAAATGTTCACTTTGTCTCTATCTGACGAATCCGCAAAACCAGCTTTGGAATAGAAAGCATCATCTCGAGCTGCAACTGTCTTTAACAACTTGACGCTGCATTCATCACCAAACAGTTTTTGTGCAAGATCCATAGATACGGAACGATGCCCTTCACCATTCTGGTTGTCACCTTTATCAAAATCAAACACCTCCGCTAGGCAATGGCCACCTGTTTTAAGCAGCGATTTAATAATGCTCACATACGAGACAAGATCCTTCTCATCAACGGCTATCAAAGACCCACGGTCCCATACAGCGTCAAACTGTCCTTCTAAGTTCTCATTAAAGTAGAAGAAATCTCCAACATAGAATCGTATTTTGTTGTCTGCGCTTCGGTAAAGCTTGCCTTGTATGGCATCACATTGCTCTATGTTAACGGGGACGTTCTGTTCTGTGAAGAATTCCTTTGCGGCTTTTTCTGCTCCTTCTATTCCAACAACAGTGTGACCGAGATCTGCCAGCCTGGAAAGACAGAACCAGACATTGGGGTACAATTGCCAAGAATTTAATTGATGTCAAATCGTGTATATTTTTGCACACACAAACAAATTTAAACATCTTTAAAGGCACGTAGCTTATCATAATAAATTGATGTGAAAATGTTCACAAGAAAAAATATTTCAACTTTGATACCATTTCATATCGACAGTCTTCCCACACAGAGGCACCAGGACTTTAGCGTCTTTTTTGCCAGCCACCATGACGTCCAAAAACTCCTTTAGATAATGGTTCACACCGGACATATGCCATCCGACTTGGTCGCTGTCCCAAGCCTCTATCCATTCCCCCAATCTTTCTTCTTCAGCCTTTGCCATTCTGGAATGTATAGGGAAATAATTATTAAACTCAAAATGTAAGTTCGTCCCCGGGAGTTTATGCTACAGAGGTCTGCACACAGAGAGTAAAATTAACCAAAACCAAATTGTGTTACAATAGAATGTAAGGTATCAGGGCATGTTAATATACACAGCATACCTTGAGTTAAACCCACTGTAAAAAATCCAACAAGATGACACAATAAATGATCCGTGTTGGAAAAAATACAACACTAGTCATGTACGAGATAAAATAAAATACTGAGTAAGTCAGAGTTGATTCAAGCGAGTAAAGCAAAATGTTTTACCGCCAAATTGTGGAAATTTACTCCCCAAATTTAGATTCCTTACTTAACCAATGGAGAGAATTAGAAAGAGAACGCATAGTCAAAGAAAAAATGNTGATAAAATTTCGATTTCAAACTCATTTTTCAACATTAAATATGCTGTAGATCAACTTTTGGGTCATCTCACATTATTCGAAATTTATTTCTCAATATGACAATGTACATATTGTAACCTCAAGTACGTTAATAGCCGAGATAATACACCGTTTATGACACCCTATAAATCTCAAAAAATATTGCCCAATTCAAATTCTCGAACTTCCGGTTTGTTTAATAGCCACCTAGCGGCAGACCAGTGGCTCCCGGGCTGTTCACTGGTCGGAGTTGACAACCGCATTCCTTCACCGGTTCTTATTGTCTTTTCTGTCTCTTTAAAGAAGCAGGAATTTAATGCACAATATACGAGCCACGAAGAACTGGAGTGTATTTTTCAAATAAGTTCAGTTTTTTTTTTGTAATTATGTATTTTCATGGGTCGCGGCCGGGTGATTTTTGATTAGGCCTACCTGATAATTTGGATAACAACTGTGCATTTTGGCAAATAAATAAATAAGTAAATAAATAAAAACGCATTTTTTCCTGTGGTAAATTACAATTTTTCCATATTTACCAATGGTTAATAAATCCATTCCGACATTCAAAGTTAGTCCATGTTTTTTCTTTTTTTCTGTGATAATCTCTTAATTTATTACGGGGGTAAAGCCATCTATGAAAGTTTGCGTCGTCCGGTGACAAGCGCATATTCCAGAATAATTGCAATAACCGCTGTATGGGTGGTGAAATATGGGATTTATTATAGGGCTACTTATATGAATGTTTTACAACGTTTTTATTGTGAAATATGAATCTCATACGAACAGTTGCTATTCCTTTAAGTTCTCTACCGGTTTATGTATAGTTCTACCGGGGAAGACAGTGTTTAGAGCTTGGATTTCGTAGCTACCATCATTAATTGATACAGGCCATATAGCGACGACACACACATTTTATAATATCTAATAGTTAGTAAGAAAATTGTAAACAACAAATACCATAAATAGTGAAGGGACTATATTAGCCTATAGGGCCTACTGGAGTAGGTTTACCAGAGATATAGGCCTACCGGTAGGCCTACGTGCAGTGTATTAAGCTTGGTTGGTTATCATTAATGAGCTAGCTATATGGTTAACAAAAAGTATATATCTTACAAAAAGTATAAATAAGCTTTGACACCATTTAAAGGCATTTTAATTTTAAAGTCAGTATAATATATATTGTTTGTCTGACATTCTAAACAACTAATGAAAGGCACAAGAAACAAAAACTAATTCATGCGTAACTACAATGCGTGCCGGTAGGCCTACCTGGCATAATGCACTGCTGAAAGGCAATCGATTTGTGGTCTTATACGTACATGTCACCTAATTGTAGGCCCTATATATATCACAGTTATTTTCTTGTTATTTGGTTTTAAAATACATGGTCTCTCATCTTTTCATTCTCTTACTTATAGGCCTACAGGTAGGTAAGCCTTAATTCTTTGAAATAAGATAAATGTTCACTTTGTCTCTATCTGACGAATCCGCAAAACCAGCTTTGGAATAGAAAGCATCATCTCGAGCTGCAACTGTCTTTAACAACTTGACGCTGCATTCATCACCAAACAGTTTTTGTGCAAGATCCATAGATACGGAACGATGCCCTTCACCGTTCTGGTTGTCACCTTTATCAAAATCAAACACCTCCGCTAAGCAATGGCCACCTGTTTTAAGCAGCGATTTAATAATGCTCACATACGAGACAAGATCCTTCTCATCAACGGCTATCAAAGACCCACGGTCCCATACAGCGTCAAACTGTCCTTCTAAGTTCTCATTAAAGTAGAAGAAATCTCCAACATAGAATCGTATTTTGTTATCTGCGCTTCGGTAAAGCTTGCCTTGTATGGCATCACATTGCTCTATGTTAACGGGGACGTTCTGTTCTGTGAAGAATTCCTTTGCGGCTTTTTCTGCTCCTTCTATTCCAACAACAGTGTGACCGAGATCTGCCAGCCTGGAAAGACAGAACCAGACATTGGGGTACAATTGCCAAGATTTAATTGATGTCAAATCGTGTATATTTTTGCACGCACAAACAAATTTAAGCATCTTTAAAGGCACGTAGCTTATCATAATAAATTGATGTGAAAATGTTCACAAGAAAAAATATTTCAACTTTGATACCATTTCATATCGACAGTCTTCCCACACAGAGGCACCAGGACTTTAGCGGACTTTTTGCCAGCCACCATGACGTCCAAAAACTCCTTTAGATAATGGTTCACACCGGACATATGCCATCCGACTTGGTCGCTGTCCCAAGCCTCTATCCATTCCCCCAATCTTTCTTCTTCAGCCTTTGCCATTCTGGAATGTATAGGGAAATAATTATTAAACTCAAAATGTAAGTTCGTCCCCGGGAGTTTATGCTACAGAGGTCTGCACACAGAGAGTAAAATTAACCAAAACCAAATTGTGTTACAATAGAATGTAAGGTATCAGGGGATTTTAATATACACAGCATACCTTGAGTTAAACCCACTTTAAAAAATCCAACAAGATGACACAATCAATGATCCGTGTTGGAAAAAATACGACACTAGTCATGTACGAGATAAAATAAAATACTGAGTAAGTCAGAGTTGATTCAAGCGAGTAAAGCAAAATGTTTTACCGCCAAATTGTGGAAATTTACTCCCCAAATTTAGATTCCTTATTTAACCAATGGAGAGAATTAGAAAGAGAACGCATAGTCAAAAAAGAAATGTTTTTTTTTTTTTTTTTTTT